AATGGTGGAACTGGTTAGAGGAATTACAGGTCGTGTTTTAGGTTTTTGTTAGCTTGCATTGATGCTAGGGAATGTGTTTGATGAGCTTTGGGCAAGAAATCATGCAAGGGATGAGAGTTGGCACTCAAACTACAGTGAGAACTCTGTTTGAGCAGTTTGAGGGTGGTTTTGAGTTTGTGGAGGTATTGGAGGTATTAGAGTCGTGTGCTAGCTTAGTTAGGATGATTAGAAAGTGTCTACAATATTTGCTTAAGGTTTCTAATGCTGAGATCAAAGTTATGTTGTGAAATGCCAAGTTTCTTAACACTTAAGCAAGCAAAGCCAAGTTGATGTTCTAGGCAAGTAGAGGCCCCCTAAACATGCTGCTAACCTTGTCTTGATCAGAGTGTTTTGCTCATAATCTTGTGCCAATTGGATTTGATCTGTACCTCTTGGATTTGCATTATGACATAAAGCTTGCTTTTGCAAAAATGGCCATTTTGCTTTTTCCATAAATGGCTTAATTCAAAATGTAATGCATAAACTCATGAAACAAAGCCTTAGCACAATGAACATGCATTAAATTATTGAGTGTTGGATGGTTTAAGGGCCTGTAATGTAGCATAAACCAAGCTGACTTGAAGATGGCATAAGTTATGAACATGTACATGACCAATTCAAAAGTGAGTTTTTGCCATATTGCAAAATTCGAATCTCTCAAGTTATGAGGTTGTTTGATGAGTTCTTGGACATTTTGGAAAGCTTGGAATGTGTACTACAATCCATATTTGAAATGCAAATTGAAATTCCAAGTGGAAGTGTATGGAAAATTACCTTGAAGTTAGGTAGAAAACCTTGCCAAAATAGGTTAAAATTTCACTAAGTTAAGAATGGTTTAGTACCCTTATTCCAAAAATTGTAACTTGAGATACAAGCCTCATTTGGGAAAACTTTGTGAATCAAAGTTGTAGATTATGCAACAAGCTACAACTTTAATGTTTTTACTTTTGCTTGAATCCAAATGAATCTTGGTGAGAAAGTAGGGCAAAGTTGGAAAAAAATTAGGGTTTTTCATAACTTAGAAAAATTCTAAGTTATGAAAAATTCTCATTTCAAACCCTAATTTGCAATTTTTGATTTCTTGGTGAACAAGTTTCATGATTTGGCATGTTTTGATGAAAAAGGAATCTTGACTCTTGATTTTGACCAAAAAGTCAAAGTTTGACTTTTCAGTATATAGTCAAAATTGATCAATTGACTGGGAAATTCAACTGTCAATCTTGTGTACTTGGGATCTTTTGAACTTGTTGAGCATGTCAAGATAATTCCATGGGGTCCTTGAGTCCATATGTGAGCTTGGTTTGCCATTGGTTGGGTCACACATTCAAAAATTGCCTTTGTGCAGTCAAAACCCTAAAAATAACCATTTTGCCCTTTTGGTGATCTGATCAAATTTCTTGTGGAATTGTGATCCAAACTTGATCAAATGGTTCATATGAGTTCATAATGTTGATGTGGGTCATTGATCATGAGATTTGACTGTCAATTGGTCACTGTTTACTTTTTCCCCAATACAGCTGATTTCTAGGTCAACTGTCCAATTGACTGGGCAAAACTTGGAATCAAGACTTGAAACTTGATGTGGATAAACTTGGGAGTCCAATATGAAGCAAGAAGGTCATCTTAGGCATTTTAGGTCAAAACATCTTTGTGCAAACACAAACCCTAATTTGGGTCAACAGTGCAAGGAGAAGTCTTGAGCAGATGAAAACCTAACTGGATCTTGATCTTCAAGAGCCTTGTGATGAGAAATGTTGAGAGAATGGGAGGGAAAATTTTGGGGTACAACAAAATGTGAGGTGCGTTTCTGAGCTTACACATAATTTGTTGCCTATAAGCATGTTTGATGATCTAGGCTATTACATTAGAGTTGAACACGAGGTACTCAAGATTTTTCAAGGTGGAGTGTTTATGGCTAAAGGGTCTAAAATATTTGGGTTTTAAATGTTATATAGTTCTAATATTGTTGGTCATTCATCATTATTTAGTGAATTTTTTCATGAGAAGAACAAGTTGTGGGATTTAAGGTCAAGACACAATAAATGTCTAAAGGTTGTTTTAGAGCATTTTAATGAGTTTAGCAAGAGACAAAGGATAAAAAATAAATTTGATCGCTCTTGGTATTGTGGTAGAAGTTGAGTTTCTAGTGCGTTTCTGGAGTAAGGATGGTGCCAATGCAGCTTACTTGATCGACATATTTCCATTCACACTAATATACTTCCAGAAACCTATGGAAGCTCAGAGCAGGAAATTTATAGATTCCCTAAATGTGAAGGTATTCAAATATTTTTCATTTATGCAAATCAAGCTAGTCCAACTCGATGATAAAGTAGTGAAGTGTCTATTAAATTTTTATTTAGAATTTGGGAAGGTTTATGTTTTTCTCTGGAACCAGAAATGTGAAGAGTTGCAGAAGCTGGGGCAGAGGTGAGCTTCCTAAGTGATAAAGCGGGAGGATTACTTGCAAGGATAACACTTCAATGCTCAACTTAGTATATGAATGATAAGCAAGTATTTAAATTTTGTTTGAAACTTATCACCTAAAATGGCGCCATCCCGTATATATAGGGAAGAGAAACAATTGACTTGCTACTTTTTTGACATGGAATGTGGAGGACCGTTGAATGCATTATGGGCGCATATCTCCTATTTTCGGGGTCTCGGATGGTCCATCAGTCTGGAGAATATTTTAGAAGCTTAGTAAATACTTGATCTGAATTCAAAATGCTTTTGCCTTATGGTGGTCTGGTCAATGGGGCATGACTGGATCAAGGTCGATATAGACGACCTAGAATAGTTTCCCCCTAAGCCCTCATGCAAGGGAATAAGCACGAAGTTTAAAATATTCTAGACACCGGCTGTCGGTCATACTTTTCTTTTCTTCCACTATTTTCTAATTTAAGATGTCCTTTGGAGGAGTGATTATGATCTTTCTAGGGAACTTCCATACTCAATTATCACATGTGATAAAAGTGATTATTGATAAGACGTCTTTCGTTTCGTATGGTCAGTTGATAAATGTAGGAAGTACTAGAGTCACTTCACTTCTAGGTTTTTCTTTCTCCTTGTTCATGAATAATTAATTCTTTTCCTCATTTGGAATATTTCTTCCATGTTCTTGAATTTGTTAAAGTGATATGGAAAAAGATATCAGAAGACTGTGAAAAGGAATTGAGTGAACTCATCATCTTTGTGGGAAGGCTCCATATATTCTTTGTCTATCCCGATCTTTATGATAGAAGGGAATTGAAATGGAGGCTTTTCTGATGTGGGAGAACCTTCGCTTTAGGGATTACTATTCCTGGTTATGAAGATAGAATTTTCAAAGAGTATGGTAATTATACCATTCCTCTGTATGAGTATTTATTTTTGACCTTAGAGGTTCATTTTCTCTTTACCGTTTTTGAAGTGGGTGTTTTTAACTACACGATGGTGGCCCCATTTCAACTTCATCCTACCAGTTGAGTGTACATTAAGGTTTATCAATACTGGTGTGAGTATTTTAAGGGAAAACCTTCTATTGTTTTGTTACAGAGAGTAGTAAATGGTATTTGCTTAAAATGTAAATAACCTTAAGTCTTTTATGGATCCGGGTTGGTTGTTTCTCTTGAGAGTGCGCAACTTTAATAAGATGTATGCATTTCCTTGATGGAATGTTAAGTTAGTACCGCACGGATGTACTCAGAGTGTGCTTACACAGAGGTAGCATTGGTATAATTGGATGCATCCGTATGTTGGATTGGAATTGGTGAAATATGAGATCGTCTGGGAATTTATGCTTACAATTATACTTGTAAATATATCATGAAAAACTATCTAAACACGGTTATGCCTTAACCACATTTATATGGATAAGGAACAAGTCTAATTAATTGTGGTTATGTTTTAAATTATACTTATAGACGAGGGACATGAAACCCTCTATAAGAGAATATGCTTTGAAACTGTGCTCCATGTTACAGAGGACCATGTCCGACCAAAGGTAGAGGATCCTCGTCCCTTCTCCGTGTTTTCAGCAGACCCCCTGAATTTTTGCGTCAGGCATAAACTGTGTTGGTTGTACCCCATATTTCCATTTGTGTAAAAATCATAAAGGAACAAATAGTTCCAAATTTCAGTGACTTTATTTATAATGGGGAATTATATGCCTAAGATAAACCAAAGCTTATACATGTGAGTTCACATATATGTATAAGATAAAAGAATAAAACGAAATACAACCAACTGGGTATCCCCCAATTATTTATCATGATGGCAATACTTTAGCTTTGCCAAGTTTTGGAGTACGAATGTCCTAGTTTTGGAGTTTCCATATAAGAGAGGTCAAGTTTATCTCCTTAGCGGATCTTTCCCTTGTGTGTCTTTTTGGCTGCTTCAAGGTCAACGAGAAAGACAGTCGACTTTCCATGAAGGTTGTAGTACTTGAGCTTTAGGAGCACATGTGAGGCCATAACATCCAATGTTATTATGAATATTCTACCCAATATGAAATTATAAAGTCTCCTGCATAAAATTGATGGATCAGATGTCTCTTCCCTATCTCACGGGTAACATCAGTTCTATATATCCAAGGTACGGGTAGTCATCTCATTACACATTTTCAAGTTTGAGCCATCGTAAAGTATTAGGTTTCCTCGGTCTAAACTCATCTTCTTGAATAACGAGGAGTATAGGATATCACACGACATCCTACCATCTATCATAATTCGCGAGACGTTAAATTATCCCATTGTGGTCGTGATTACTAAAAGGAATAATTCGTTGGGAATTTCTCCAACTTTTTTGGAGTCTCAAAACTCCAACATGGGTCGGTTAGGGATTCTAGATGACGAGTTACCTCCACCATTGTAAATAATTATCATGTTAGTGATATTTATTTTGATCATCCCTCTGGATAATATATGGGTGTTTGACCTTGCTAGTTTCCCTTTTTTATCCGCTGGGACATGACTTGTGAACCTTTACGGGAGATTTAGTCTTTGGATACCTGCTTCAATATCTCTCTCAATGTCACTTGTTTGAACAAGATTTCTCTTTAGAGACTTTTTCATAACTACTTTCTCTTCAACCTTTCTCTTCTTACTCACATGTGTCCTTTTGGGGGTTTTCTTTTTGATAATTCTAATAATATTATTAGTGGAAGCATCCCTCTTCTTCTGTTTCATACCAGTAGTCATCGTTCTAATAAGTGTTTCATCAGACTTGGTTTCTTGATCAACATCCTCCACTTCTAGAGCTACAACTTTCTCTTGAGGTTTGGTAATGCTCTCAATAATCCTTTTCATGATGTTGACGATGGGCACATCATCTTCTTCATCAAGTTGATCAACTTCCACACTCTCTTGACCATGATCCTCAGGTTCTTCCGATTGAGGATTCTCTTCCCTCAGGTCATTATAGGAATCATCATTTTCGTCAAAGATGTTAGTTACATTGATGGAAAATACAAGAGTATCCACAATATGTTTAGAAGGGGTTTTTGCATGTGGTTTATCAGATGTTGGACCATAAGCTTCAATATTTGGTTCATCATGTGAATTTCTAAAGCGGTAAATCGGCAAGCAATAATTTTGGAAATATTCTTCTGGGAAATTATCGTCTCCACAAGGATCACTGCTACTGAATTGCCATTTGACAATTCTCGAATTAATAAGTTTGGGTTTGAATGGGTTGAAAGTAAATGCGGGAATTAAAATTTATTAACAGGAAAAGAATTCATTCTTTGGAAAGAAGAAACTTATCAAGCATGCATATGATCTACTCCTCACAAACTTAAACCTATAGACCAGTTAGAAGCAACCTATAATACTCATCAATGTCATCACGTATCCACTACACCCACTGTACCATCTCATATGTGATCTCTCAACCAACCTCAACAACATAGAAGTCAATCGTGTTACTCACGTTGACAATCTCTCAGCACAACATAACTAACACATATTCATTAAGCACAGATACCCAAGTTAATAATAGCTCTAAACCTATATCTAGAATCTAGACACTATTAGATAATCATCCTAGATAAGAAATCGAGCAATATATGTCTATAGCAACCAAAACCCCAAGCACAGAGCAAAAATATAGGATAATAATAAAAAAAAGATTTGTAAAAACAAGCTTTATATAACACCATGTGCGATAAATATACACGAGTTAGAAGTAAATACATATAAAAAACCCAAAAAATGAAGAATACACAAAGAAGAAGAGAAATAAACAACAAATCTCATAGTTTGTTAGTGCCGATCAATGAGGAATCCACCCTAAATCATCCGTATGCAAGCTTCATTATAGTTTTCTAAGAAAATCTACCAAAAATGAGGTTGATGTAGTTGGGATAATAAAAAGCACCCCCAAAACCATAACCCTAACAAATAAAATGAATTGAAAATGTATAAAAAATTTTCCCAGACACGCACCGCCCGACGCTATGCTTTATTCATCCACTAAGCCAGCGCCACACAAGTAGACTGGCCAAAAATATCTCGCGCCACCCGGCACTAAAAACCACCGCCCGATGACGGCCTTTATTCTTGCCCGACGACCAAAATGGGAGCACAAGTCAGTAGCACATGATTTTCTCCCTTTTCCACCGCCACTACCTCTCCTGAGCACCGCCCGACGCTCACAACGCTTCTGCTCTCTGATGTTGAGTAAAATCAAATGAAAGTATTATGTTATTATATCCTAATGGATTGGAGCAATATCAAAACCGTTCAATGATTTCTATATTTCTAAGCATAAGATTCAAGATTTGTTTGATAAGTTTACGAAAAGTATTTTTCATAAATAACGAAAGATAAATTTAATAGGAATAGACTTATTGGGAATTAGTTTTCATTCACCTATTCGATATGCAAAACTCATATCAGTTATATACCATCTATGCTTGTTTCATTATCAACACGTATCGCATACAAACAAAGCTCATGTCTAAACTTTGACGTGATTTTTACCCTATGGTTTACTCGGTTATTTCTCAGCCTATTAAACAAGACGATAGCATTACAATTCAATATTTTAGTGAATATTAAACCTAAATATATGTCTAGCATTTAGAGTTTAATAGTTGTTATCTCGAATCGAGATTAGAACCATATTTGTCAATATCAATTCTATCATGAAATAAACGGTAAAACAAAGATAACAATAATAGTGATTCAAACATAAATTGCATATAACACCATGATCAAAGTAAATACATACTGTTTCGGTGAACTACGACTAATACCAACAAGAGAGGGATTTAACTACTCATGGTAGCTTGAAGCACAAATGGATAATTGAGTTGAAACAACATCCACAACGATTTCCCAACTCTTGATGTGTATCCAGTCCTTCTACCTAAAACCTCCTCTACACCTATTCTAATGATATTGCTAAATGTATTACTAGTGATAAAACTGGAGTATCTGCTGAACTGAGTTACTATCCTATTTATAGCAGTTCTGACCGTATGAGTTTTCTAAGTGAACTATACTTCACTAAGTGAAGTGTCTGTTACTTCTCCTTTAAGTTTCAAATAAAACCACCCTTAAGATGTCACAAAAGTTCGCTAAGCGAGGTTAGGCTCGCTTAGCGAAGTTGCTTTCTTCAGCCTGAAGTTTTTTTTATCGCCCTGTTTCACTAGGCGAAGGCCCGATTCGCTAAGCGAACTGCTTCACTTCTCCTCGCTGCTGGAGAAACTTATTGATTTGCTTCTATCTTGTATTCTCTACACTAACTATTCCTCGCTAAGCTAATTGGTATTTTTGCTACATCTCACTTAGCGAAGTGTCTGATAGCTGGTTTTTGCTTTAGGGACCAAATCCTGCACAAAACACACCAAACCAAGTAAAATTGCACAATAACACTTTTATTCAATAATTTAGGTTTTTTATGTTATAATCTTGTAAATTAAGTAAGATAAGTGATATGTAATGATGTGAAAATTTCCATGAACCAAACATTCATCACTCTCGCCTCAGCACCGCCCGACACTACTGCCAAATCAGATTTTTTTTGCTTTTCTTCTTGCCTTTCTTTCTTTGCCTTATTCCATCAATGAACAAAAGCACATGTTGGATATCCTTTTGGAATTTATTCTCATTTCTCTAATAATCTCAAATACCTACAAAGTGAATGTAAAACTAATCATCTGCTACATTATGTACACAAAATTCAATCATACATAAACTAAACGTATTTACACACAAAGCTTGATTTATTCAACCGAATATAAACAAAAAACTGATAAGTGCCACAAAATATATATACAAAATAACTACATTCTGAAACTTAACAAACCCTCCTCAACTTAAAACATTGTTTATCCTCAAACAAAGTCAAACAAACTTAAAGAAGAAAAAGTAATCAACTAAAGAATCATGAATCAACAGGTTTGAGAAACGAAAACAAATGTATGGTTAAAACAAAAACGCGCACGCAAGGCAAAACTTACCACAATCCTACAACGGCAGTATGTAAACGAAACAAATCCAAAGTACAAAAATCATAATAAACATTCTAAAACAAAACAATATTTATCATGAATCACACCTAGTAAGAATTCATCATTACATGAAGAACACCCAAAAGTCAGGGACATATACACTCATCCAACAATCTTGCAAAAAAAAAAAACTAAATTATGCATTCATCCAAAACGCATATTGAAAATACAAAGGCAAGAATTACAAGGGCTTTTCAAGGTTGTAATGTGGCTTGATTAACAAACAAGGGATAATTCCTAAGGCTAATAAAAAAAAACTTGCCTAAACCTAAGGGAGTGATTAACACACAAAAGTTCAAACACAAAATTACAATCGAACTTCATCTTTCATCCCACCAATCACATAACTTATTAACACAATTATTATACTCTTTTTTGTTTTTCTTTTTCAAAAAAATTTCAACTTTTTTCTTTCTTTTTATTTTCATTTCTTTTTCACATTCTTTTCTATTTTTTTTCTTTTCTTTCTCACAACTGCATAGCAACCAACAACATAAGTGAGCAAACATTGCTCTCTCCAACTTTAAATCAACCAACATCAACGTGTGAATACTCCCTACTTTCTAAGGTAAGGAAAAAATTCAAACCATTAATTATGGTTGAGGGTTAAAAAAATCAATATTCATTAAAACAGGAAAATCAAACAATCATAGACAAGCATTAAATTCAAAAACAACATGGACATTGACAAAAAGGCTCAAAAGGGGGTTATCAAAAGTTCACACACTCACAAGGTGAATTTACTATTAAGTTAGGTAGTTGTGATCAAAATCAAACAAAATGTCTTGATCATTTTAATTATTTCATATAATCAACACAAACAAAAGATTAAAAATTAATGAAATCCAGTTAAAACAAGATTTGTGGCCTCCAGCATATATGAACAATGGAAAGCTTCCTCACATTTGAGGTAAAAAGGAACTAAAGTGATTCAATCAAAAATCAAGTAATGTAAAAGAATGAATGACATGATATTTGTACAATTGAAAACTTTCTTAAACTTGTTATGCTATAGAAAGTGATAAAAGAGTAGCTGTCTTGTACCAACTTTGAAAACTATCTTTACCATATATCTGCAAGTTGAAACAATCAAACTCGGAATATCACCACTTGTGACCTCAAACCAAAAAGACAACAATTGAGTCCAAACAAAAAACAAAAACATTAGAACAAACTACTTATAAACATACTAAAATACCGGGTGAAATATAATTAATCAAGTTGAAAAGTGAAGATTTACAATTTTAAAGTCGGTCCGATTTCAACTTGTTTAAATAGAAATCACCAACACTACCTAAACTAAAACAATGAAAAACAATAAAACATGCTTGTTTTACATCATAAGCTCGACGCCAGTTATTTATACACACTTCTCCAAGTTTCCTCTTTACACGGTTAGCGGTCACCGACGGCGAAACCTAACCAAACACTTAACAAACATGAAGAGAAACAAACATATACACTAAATTTACAAGTATTGAAAACATGTAAGATTCACAAGTATGGTAAACATAAACAAATAAATGCATAAGTATACACATATAAGTCTAATTAAACAATATAAACAATATGAACATTATGTGCAAAACTCAAAAAAAAAATCTCAATGTGATCCGATAAAAACACCAACCTCCGGTAACATCGCCATTTTCCTGAAGCGGTAAAGTGGCAAGCAAATTTTTTGGAAATATACTTCTTTGAAATTATCGTATCCACAGGTATCAGTGCTACCGAATTGTCATTCGAAAATTCTCATGTTAATGAGTTTGGGTTTGGATGGGTTGGAAATAAATACGAGAATTAAAAGTTATCAATAGGAAAATAATTCATTCTTTGGAAAGAAGAAACTTATCAAGTATGCATATAATCTACTCCTCACAAACTTAAACCTATCGATCAATTATAAGCAACATACAATACTAATCAATGCCATCATGTATTAACTACACCCAATGTATCAACTAGGAGGCAATCTCTTAACCATCCTCAACAACACAAAAGTCAATTGTTTTACTCGCGTTGACGATCTCTCAACACAACACAACCAACACAAGAGGCATTAAACACAGACACCCAAGTGAATAATAGATCTAAATATATATCTAGAATCTAGACACTAATAGATAATCAACCTAGATAAGAATTCGAGCAGTATATGTCTATAGAAACCAAAACCCCAAACGCAGAGCAAAAATATAGGATAATAATCGACAAAGATTTGTAAAGAAAGCTTTATATAACGCCATGGGCGATAAATATACATGAGTTTAAAGTAAATAAATATAAAACCCCAACAAATGAAGAATACAAAAAGAAGAATAGAAATAAACCAAAAATCTCCCAGTTTGTCAACACT